GATGATTCAATTCATCAAGAACAACTCTTTGCTTTTGAAAATGTTCCCACTTGTCTTGAATTAGATAGACGAGGGCAAGACAAGAGAGTTGAGCGGTGAACAAGATTGTCCAAATACTTGAGTCTCTACTTGATGATGTCTTCTTATGGTAAGCTCTTATGCCTGTGTATATGTTAATTATGCCAACTATTGACACTATTGTTCCAAGAATCCAATGCAATAAGAACCATTTTAACCTCCTTTTGCTCCCTCTACAATGCAGCCGATAAATTCGCGAGAAGTGTGAGAACCGAGGCATGGGGATATAGAAAGATATAAAAAATGTATACTTATGGTACGTACGTATATGTACCTAGAGGGCCTGAAGAAACCGGTCAAGAATTGGAACCACATGCCAGCATAAAGAGCGAGACCAAGTCTTTGATGGTTGTTGTCAAAGGAGTTCTCCAATGTTCTTATAGACATTATAGCTCCTATTGTTGCCAAAACCACTGCTAGTATCTGCTTATATATAGTTTAAGAGAAAAAAAATTATGCAATCTCATATAAGTAAAATCCTTGTATTTTACGTGTGTATGCATATATATATATATATTGATGATGGATTCGAGTGTGTGTGTAAGAAACCAAGAGTGTAATCATAGTGTGTCCCTAGCTCAATTTCCTTTGTATTCAAGAAATCATGATCAGCTATAGAAATTTCAAGAAGCATTCCGTCCTTAAACTGTCTATTTAAAATTAATTTCAGTGCATATATATCTAGCTGTGGAAATTGAGTAACTAATATGAGTGCTTCTTGATCTTCTATTTAAAAATAGTATTTTGCTTTATTTAAAAGTTTTACCCCATAAATAGTATATTTAATATTATATTTGTAGTGGAGAAATAATTAAAGTGAGATGTCATCATGAGTTCAAAATAAAGATTTGGAATATTTTTCCATATCTTATATTGGAGAATGATACAATCTCTTAACAATAATATACATTTTCCACCATTATATATATTTATGAGGGGATGGATACTAATTAAATTACCTGGAAAGTGACATGAAGGTAGAAGAACACTTTAACATTTCTTCCATTTTCATTAGCTTTATTGGCCATTCTAATGAAGAGAATCCCCATTGGCATAAGAAATCCCATTGAAGCCCATAAGAGAATGCCATGAAGCTTTATGCTGGTTATCATTTGACTACTCAACTGTCATTCAAAATTAAGATAATAGTTTAATTCGGTTTTCATTAGATATTTTACAACAAAATCCTTCTTTATCCAATCCAGTTGTTAATGGTTAATACTTAATACTAGTACATTCAAAAATATTATTAGCTAAGAAAATATATATTCAATTGTACTGAGAATCATATAATATATAAGCTTGTATAAATGAGGAAACAAGAACCAGTTAAATTATATTTTTCTTAAAAGACTGTCTAGTACCAGGGATCCGTTGTTCTTGAGATTCCTTGGTGGATGGTTATCAATGGTGACGTCAAGAGATGAACAGATGACAAATGGTGAAACAGAGGATAGATAGAAGATAACAGAAACCAAAACAGTCACTAGAGATGTGGAGATTTTCATTCTGATCTTAATTACACTACTAGCTCACCACACTAAGAAAGCAAAATCCACTCTCTAATACTCTCTCTAACTCTCTCCCTATAAGTCAGTTCCTTACTCTGAGAATTTAAGAAAGACCCGTGATATATATATACAAATGCGTATTACTGAGGATAGACCCGTGATATATATATCTACAAATGCGTATTATAACTGAGGAAAATGGTGTATATGTGATGATGAGGGAGAGAGACAAATAAAGAATAATATGCATGTGATTGCTGGTGTAAAAGAGGCTTTAATGGAATGATTTGAAGGCTTAGCTAGTTGAAGAAATTATATTCAATTTGTTCATGGAGGGATGGGCCAAATTCATATGATCATCATAATATTAATTTTCTTCCTTTTTTTTGTGCACCTAATATTAATTTTCTTTGATGTCATAAATTCAGTCACCAAATCCAAGATACCATCCAACATAATCATTGTCATTAATATATAGAAGTAAGAAAGTAATATTTACTTCGTGATTTTCATTTTGCATATCTTCATGTAGTTGAATCATGATCACGTCCCCTTTTCTTCATATATACATTTATGCCAATACAGACTTGCGCACACCACTCAGTCACTCACATGTGAGATTTTGGATTTTATGTGTTACCAAAGAGAATAAATAATAGTTTTAGCTTTTCAATTTGGTCCCATAAGCAACCAAATAATCCACTTCTTCTTGGCTCCAATGATGTAAATTATGCTCATAGATATGTAAGCCTTTTGCAAATTTTCTTGGTATATATCAGTTATTACAAAATATATTAGAATATGAGTTACTTTTTTCTGGTCAAAGCTCACTAATCTATTTATGTAGGATAAGAGTGTTCATTAATCTATCTATGTAATCTTCATATTACTAAGCTAATTTCCACTTCTCACAATTAGAGTTCAGAAAGTGTAGCAACGTCGTTAGTTAGGTTACTCCATATTCCATCTTGTAGTTTTAGTTTCAGTAGAGCTTGCATGAAATAAATCAAAGAAAATATACTTGCATGAAAAATGATTTTTTTTTTTGATAACCGTGGGATCATAAAGATTTTCTAGACCCAAAAACTAATCTCACGAAATCCATATAAATCCGGATTTTCTTTCCATTTAAAACGTCTATAGGTAGCTAATGCTACTCGAACCTAAGACTGAAACTCCAGCTGAAATTCTTTTACCATTAGACCAAAACGAATTGGTTAAAAAGACATTTTCTTGGCAAAAGAATATGTTTCTTTTAAGAAAGAAACTAGAGTTTCACCCGCACATCCGTGCGGGTATATTTTTTATTTTATAAATAAATAACTAATTTTTTTTAATATATGATTTATATTTTAGTTTTAATTATAATCATATCTAATAACGAAAATAAAGAAATACTTATTTTATAAAAAATATATTTAAAATTTTTGGTAAGATCTTGTTAGATTTTTTCAACAGATTTTGTTATATTTAAATTTATTTATTATTAATGTTCTTATTAGTTATTAAGATATTGTGAAAATCATATATATTTGACAATTTATTATTAATGTTCTTATTAGTTATTAAGATATTGTGAAAATCATATATATTTGACTGGTTAATGTAACAATAAAATATGTCAATTAAGTAATTAATAACATGGTCCAACATGACTTCTAAATAGTAGATAAATTTGGTAACGTAGCACAGTTTTGTCATACGTCTTCAATATTACTGTTCTCAAAACATTATATAATATATAGTTTTATTTTTAATTGAAGAAATTATATATAAACATATGAATGGAATTTATTTTTTCGTTCAGTTTCATGTTTTCATCGGTTGACTGTTCCAAAAGCTCTGAGTTAGTCAGAAATTGGCAGATTAAGTTTTAAGTAGTATCTCATTCAGATCAGAATTGCGGAGATAACAAAAAGCAAACCTACCTTTTAGTTAATCACATTATCGTTGGTGTCTCGCGGTGACTTCACGTTCTTCGAAATGATTGCAAATTCATGAGTAAAAGTCTCTGCTTCCATCGACTAAAACACGAACCAAACTCTATATATGTTTGCACCTAATAAACTTTTTAGTAGGCAGTCCATTTCATATCAACTTTTTTCGTTTCACTTTTCTCTCTTAAAGAAAAAAAACTGTGTAGAGATCCGAAGGGAAAGAAAAAAGAAAGTTATGCAGATATAAGACCTACGTAAGCTGCTGAAAGAGAGAGCAAAGAGGATATAACATATGCCATTGTTACTATCATTGGCTCCTTCAAACCACTTAGCCTTAGGTGATGATGAAACGGCACTGTTTTGAAAACCCGACGCCCTTTTCCCTTTAAACGCTTAGTCGCCGAGTAAAACGCTACCTGCGTCCAAACCACACATATATTTACATCATCAGCGGTTGTGGTTGCAGTTCTGATCAGAAAAGCATTAGTGATCGGTTTATTCTACTATTTACCTGAATAATAACAGAAGCAGCTTCCAAGATAGAAACACCAGAGGATATGAACAACGGCAAGAACATTCCAGAGCAAGCAGCCATTGCAGCCAAAGCTCCACCGAGTGCCAATGATCCTGTACCTCCCATGGAAACAGATGCTCTGTATCGGTTGTGAAGTAGAAACCCGAAGCAAGCTCCAGCCATGGAAGCTCCAAATACAGAAAGATCTGGTCGCAAAGATTAAAAGTAGTGAGAAACACACACACACTCTATCTTCTCTTGAAATGCAATATTCTTTATATTTGAAAGTAAATGATCAATAGGGGCTAACCAGAGCAAATAGGAAGAACAACTATTGCCATTGCAACGAAAGCCAAGGCAGCAACACCTCCAGCCAGTCCATCAAGACCATCAGTTGCTTTGACTAAGTTTCCCATGGAAACGAAGTAGAACGATGTCAACAATAGGTAAAGTTTTCCCAAGCAAATGAGACCTAACGGTGAAGGCAAAGGAACCAACATTTTCCTGGAAAAAAAAGATGTTCAGAATCAAGAAGATGGTTGAGTCAACGTCTGAACAACCCAATCTATTAGCAGCTACTTGTGGTCTGGCTTGAATATAATCATGTTGATTCTTTATTCTCATTGTAGGTTTATATGAAAGTGGATACGCGAGTTAACCTCATATATGCGTTGATCAGATGAGTTATAAGATGCTATACATGCCATAAGGAGATGAGATGCTTGCCCTCTCCAACCAAAACGCAAAACATGTCCCGACCGCTCCCTGTGATTACATGCCGATTGAAGGATCAAGTAAAAAGGATGACAAAGTCCATACGCAAAGAATCAGTTGAAATACCTCCAAAAGAAGTTGCATCTTTGCAGATAAACCATTACTATTGTCACTGCAGAGGCTTAAAGAGTCATCAACTAGACCAATCGCTGCAAACACTAGAGTCACAGCAGCTGCTCCAGCGACTTCGATAGAAGAGAATCTAGTCATGACAACTGCAACAACAACACCTATTGGAACAAAGAACAAACCGCCCATTGTCGGGATAGTTTGTCTGCGGCTATGAGTAACTGGCCATAGTCTCCTGATTGGCTCATGCACTTTCATTCTGTCTAGCAAGGGGACACAAACATAACCTGCTAAGGTGACTAAAATGGCGGATGTGAAGAAGGGCTGGGTCAAGAAATAGGGAGGGAGAGGCAGTCTAACAATCTTCCAAGCAAATGAGTCCATAAACAAAAGCAGGGGCGTCAAAAAGGCAAGAAGCCCTAAATTAATCCCATATCTGATCCTGCAAATTATAAAGAAATCAAAGTCAAAAGAAATGAATTTTTTCAACTTGGTATGGTATATTAGAAGGAGTCTCTAGTAAAAAAAAACACTTTATACCAACACTTCACACACATTGTAGTAGATATTATCCCCAACTCAAAATGTACCAATGGAAAAAGAAATATGAGTGATTGGTTATAAAACTAGTGACGTGGTTAATAATATCTGAAAGTAGAAGCTAACGTGCCTGTGCTTTTTACGACCTTTTGGAAACTTTCCGAGCCTCTGTGCGGTTGTTTCAGTAACCACATTGAGCCCATACTCCCCATCGCTCTCTTCGCCTTCACTAGAAGAAATCGAGTATGCAGCAGCAAATATGTCACCAGAATCCAAATCAAACGAATCCTAAGGAAAATCAAAACATGAAAAAGGTTTTGTAAGTTTGATTTCAAAACCAGAAGAAGAATGCTAAGTCATTATTGAGAAATATTTACGTCATCAAAGGCCTTGACTGAGACAGAGCTATGTCCCATCATGCTATTACATCCATGTCTTGCTACATTTAACTGCAAACAAAATAAATATATATATATATATTAGATAGAGCTTGCTTGCTTAAGCAATCAACAAAACAAAACATTGAGCATAACAGATCTTATGAAACCACTTGAACATATCTTAACAAAAAATGAATCATGATTTCGTAGCAGATGATGTATGGTACCTTGAAGGAAGAGGGAGGTCTAGATTGTACGACGCGGAGACGAGTAGCGGAAAGGAGAGGAAGCGATTCAAGAGATCGAAACGGATTCGGATGTTGGAATCTGTAAGAGCTCCGGCTCAACGGTATAGATCTCATCGCATCTCTATCTCTTTGGAGAAAGAAGAAGCAGAAACAGAAGAAGAAGGTACTATTGAAATGGAGGAATACGATTGGGTGAAGGTTGGGGTCCAGTGATTGCGTGTGCTCTGTGAAACGAATCTCCCGAGTTTCTTTTTTTTTTATTTTTTCTGTTGCAAACTAATTCTCTTTGAAAATGAAATCGCAAGAGAAAATCAATGAAGAGAGGTTTCTTTCTGACTTACTATGTGGCCACTGTCCGCTGATAGACCTACACCAAAAGCCCATGTCAATTATATCCAAATCGAGGATTACACATGTATTATGTTCTATAATAATTTAAAATTTTAATCTATCTTAAAATCACTAATCGTAAACCAACAAAAATAAAACACTATTGAAATTAGCCGTTTTATGCCGTTTTGGTTATATGTGAGTATGTGACTGGCTGCCCTAATTTAAATCTGATAATGCATATGCCTTCTAGTTCTCTAGGTCCTTTGAAAAATTCTATTGTGGGAGAAAGTCTATGTAGAAAATGACTCTCTAGTGCCCTCATATTCATGTATAAAGATTGACATCATTACAAGCTCCAAAAACTATACATGAAAAAGTCTTGGGAGGTAGGAATCATCTCAACTGCCAACAAACATTATTGATTTATGGTTCTGTGAGTGGAAATCTCTGGAGTCTAGAGAGAACAAAAGATATTTTAGAATGTGAGTTTTTTGTTTGAGAAATGTATAGTTACCAAAATAAATACGTTCTGATTAAACAAAACACACTTCGAAATACGTTTGTAAGATTAAGAGACATACATTGATAGAGTTTCCTTCCTATAAATCAAATACTATGGAGAAACTCAGTTTAGAGTTAAAATCCCCTATTCATTATTTGCGAAGTGATTTTGCCACATGTCGTCTCTAGAATCAGTTTCACATAAAAAATGGTGACATGTCAACTAGAATTGATGACATGGCCTATGATTAAATATGACATGGACAATTACATTTAATGTTAATATATATTTTCGGAAAACTTTATAGAATATGATAACAATTCATATATTACATTTAATGTCGATTTATATTTTTGGAAATATTTTTAAAATATGGTAATAACTCATAAATCATCATTAAAATAAATATATTCCAATATGGCATTAAAAATTAGAAAATATCATTTAATTATATATTTTAAAATTATACAATTTTATTACAAAATTTTCAAAAATGTATACCTTTTTGAAAATTATTAAAATTTAATCATAAAATTATTAATTTATTATATATTTACAAATTTAATAAATATTGTCTAATTTTAATTTTTGATAATTATAAAAGTTTCTACAAATTTATTTAATATGCTTAATTAAAATAAATAGATAAAAAAATATGTCTAAGATTATAATTTTAAATACATACATGCATATTCTTAAATATAATTTAAAATAAACAAAAATATTTTTATGTTATTTTTTATGTTTAATTAAACAAAATTTTGTATTAAATAAGTGATAAGAAAAACAAAATTTATAATATTAATAAAATTTTAATTTTAAACATAATTTATATTGTATCTGTTAAAAAATATTTTAATTTTTTTTCTGTACATGGTGCAGGAGAACACCTAGTACTCATATATTAATCGAACGCTTTTATAAAAAAAAATGTAGAATTTTTCTTGTACAAGTTAATCACGGAACCATTTTACACATGCTTTACATTTACACTACATTACACAAGCTAAATGTTATAGAAATTTGTTTTTTTTTTTTTATCATGCAAAAATGATATAAGTTTTGACCCAAACAAGTAACGAAAGAAAGCGATGTCCAACATGTTAGTGGGACGATAATCAAAATAGCACAAATCATGAGTAGCGTGACTCATTACTGTAGAAGCCTTAGAAAATATATCACGAGTTACCGACATCTTAATTCTCACCCTGTAATCGGATTCTCACATGCCCAAAAGAGAGACTCTTGTCACGGACATAAAATTTTATCTCATTTTTTGGATTCTCATCACTTAGTAATAGTGATACGTGTCTAATGCGTGTGTCGTGTGAGTGAGTGCTTATATGAAGTCCCAAACTGAGTGAGAAACTAAGAACATAAAGAAAAGAGCAAAAACAAATATTTCACGAGGAAAATGAAAGGTGAGTTTCTTACATTGGCTCTTATATCTCTACTCTTGGCTTTCTCGTTTGTCTATGGAGGAGGAGAGTCTGAAACCCCTGCTCATTCTGCGGTCAGCCCGAGTAGTCCGACAGGAGGGTCCAGCGGTGCAAGTGGTTCGGCTCATGGACCTAATTGGGGATATGACTGGGGATGGGGATCAACACCCGAAGGTGGTTATGGCTATGGTTCTGGTTCTGGTTCAACACCAGATGGAGGAGGAAAAGGGACAGGATTTGGGTTTGGTTCTGGTTCTGGTACAGGCACTGGGGTTGGGTTTGGCTCAGGAGGAGGAGGAGCCACGGGCGGTGGCTCTGGCCATGGTAGTGCGACCGGACACGCAAATGAAGGCGGTGGCTCAGGGGGTGAAAATGGTGGAGCTTCTCCAGGTCGTAGAGAAAGAAGCCAACACCGCTAATAATTATAGCCATTTCGCGCTGCCTCTTTAACACATAAGATAAGACTGGAAAAGAAACCAAAGTATTATTATTGTATTGTATGAATACTACAAGCTTGATGCATAAATAAGAGGATCAAACGAATAATTAAACAGTTGGGCGTTTCATCTGTACTACGTATTATAGCTAAACCTGATGTATCCTTTGTTTGCGACGCAAAAAGTTATATGTTTTGATATATGATTTAATACTTGCAAGATGATCATATGCGAATATGCAAAAGGAATAGAAGTGTCTACGGTATCTTCTTCACGTCACCCTTGTGCATAAAAGAGATATTTTTCTACCTGGGTAAACGAGAAATCTGGTTAAGTCGCATGCATATATATAAAGAACCATTTCGTTTTAACCATACAATTGATCTTTTTCAAAATCTGGCATTTGGTGCCATTGGTGGTGGTACTCTTACCGACCCTAGCTAGGCTAATTTATTTCATTACTACTAAGAGCCCGATAGCTGAACAAAGCAACTTTCAGTTTTGGGGGTTGGTCGGACTCGTTCAAGTAGGATCCTTAGTTTAGACTTAGCAAAATATAAAGTTATAAAGATTCTTTTTTTGCAAATACATTTTATTTAACTTTTGTCGCTCTTTTCACTTCATCGGGTTGGAATATAAAGTAGGAACTCAGCTGTTGGCTTTGTAATGCATATATTGTAATGGGCAACTCTATGGCCTAAAGCTCTCGGAGGTCTCGGAGTGAAGGATTTACGTACCTGGAATAAAACTTGCACTCTCAGACTTGTATGGCTACTTCTCTTCAGACCAGCGTCAGTATGGGTTCAGTGGTTAAGGAGGTGATTCTTAATGGCTCAGTACACAACTACTGGACAACTACACCAAAGGAATCCTACTCCTGGCTAGTCAACAAGCTCCCCAAACTTAAGGGAGTCGTATTCCCTTTGATAAAGCTCAGGCTACAAAATGGGGAAACGACAAAGTTCTGGTCAGATAACTGGTCACCATTTGGTGATCTCTCTACTTATCTTTCAGGAACTGGATCTAGATTTGGAATACCTGCACACGCCACTGTCTCTTCGTTTTGTCATAATGGAACCTGGTCTCTTCCTCCGGCCAGAACAGACGCACAACTCCAGCTGTATGTCTACCTAACAACAGTGCAACTGACTACAAATCAGGATTACTTTGAATGGGTGATAAATGATCAAATCTACTCTAGCTTCAAAACATGTACTCTTTATGAATACCTTTCTCAGCCAAGCCCAGATGTTCCTTGTTATAGTGTTGTTTGGATCTCTCGAGCCATTCCAAGACATAGCTTCCACGTGTGGCTAATGATCCAAAATTGAATCCCGACTTGTGATATAATGCTACAATGGGGAATTCAGGTGGATGACCGATGTCTACTCTGCAATCTGTAACAAGAATAAGGGGATCATCTTTTCTTCTCCTGTAACTATAGCTACGACCTGTGGAAACTAGTCACTGCAAGATTACAACTTTTACCTCTTCGGGATTGGTCGGGAACTCTAGATCAGATGACTACTTTATCTACACCATAACCGCAACGACTCCTGATACTCTTAGCTTGACAAGCAACGATGTATTGGGTTTGGGGAGAACAAAATACAAGACTGCATGCAAACAACTATCGATCCTCTGATCAACTCTTCAAGCTAATAGATCGCCAACTCAAAAACAAGATGCAGAGCTTTTGGGACAGCAATCCGACCAAATCATTGACAATGATGCAGAGTTGGATCCGACTTGAATGATCGACTTTGGTTTCTCAGACAAAAGTAACTTAGAGCATCCACATCAATGAACCCAAGAGGGGTTCATTGAATCAATTTTTTATTATTAAAATTTTTCTGTTTTCTTTTTGATTTTCTTTTTAAAAAAAAAAAACCTAAACCAATCCCGGGCCGCCACGTGGTGAACCTTAGGAGAAGGGTTCACCCAGAGAACTTTAGGAGAGAGGGGTTCATAGATTTTTGTTATTTTATTATTTTTTTTCTTGATTTCCGTGTGAACTCCCCCCATAAACCCTCAATGGGGGTGCTCTTAACCGTCGACTATCTCCAAACTCTCCTCCTACATAACTATCCTTTTGGGCTGGTTTTCAAAGGGTTTGGGCCTTAACGAATGTGATTCAAGAATGGATTGTAAAAGAAACTAAATTCCAAGGGCTTTTGTAACATTTTAGGTCTTTTATTTAATTTAAGAAAGCAGCTTACAAAAAAAAAATAAAAAACTCTATGGCCTAAGTTAGAATCACAACAAACATAGACCTTGACCGCTTAAGAAATTATAGTTTTCTCATTTTCTTCTATTTTTTTTCTTTTTAATTGTGATTGTATTATATATAAACAGAGCCAGTCTTGACTTTTTGGTGGCTAGAAACGAAGAGAAAAAAAAAGATTGGTTCATAAATTTTCCTACTAATCGTTTTTGAATTAAAAAAAATGTTAAACAAAAACTCTTTAAAACATGAAAGATTAATACATCACTGTTGATATATGATTCTTCTTGCATTTCTTCCCGCAAACTCATTCATCAAGGTTGTATAATCAATTTTCTCAGCCTTATCCCTTTCGATCGACAACATTGACAATCCATTAAGTCTCTCTTGTGACATATTCGACCATAGAGAAGATTTTATGAGCTTCAACTTTGAAAAACTTATTTCTGCTGAGGCAACAGAAACGTTAATTGTACGTCATCATTATACGGTATGTTGTCCATGTATTTGGATAACATCTTTCTCTCTTTTTTAAAAACTCCAATATTTCAGCAGCCTTCATAATACCTTCAGGAGAACCCCCTCTCAAAAGCTTCAGCTCCAAAAAAAATCATTACCATCAATATCAGAATAATTACCATGTTTCAGAAAAGCTTCAAGGTTAGCAAAAGAAAATATCAGCTTATCATCTTCTGCTAGCTTCAGTTTTTTAAAGTCAAATAAGAATCGAAAAGTTTTTTTAAAACCTTGAAGCTGATTAAACCTTTTCTCAAGAGAAACCAAACCTTGATCCACAATTTTGATGAAGTAGTTGATCATAAAGTCTTCTTCTGGTGTTAATATCACATCTTCTCCAACTTTATTTGGCTCTTCATCATCATGAAAATATTTTTTCTTAGTAGATGTTTTGCCTTTTTAGAGAACACATGATCAGTTTCCATTTCTCTAGCAATCTTTTCAGCTTCTACCTTGGCTGCTTGAAAGCATGTTTCTCTATAGTCTTTAAAAAAGAAATAAGGCCTTTCGGTTGAGCAATAGCAATATCAATATCTGCTGATTGCAGGATCTTGCTCACAATGTTAACAACAAACAAAAGCTCATACCAAATAACCATTCCAAACAGAAACTCAAAACTCCCAATTCCATGGGTTTCACTCATGGCAAGAGACTCATCATCACTTCTTGTTTCTTAATTATTACTGTTTTCTGCCAACAAAAACAATGCTTCTCATATTTTAGGAGCTTGAAACCATATTTCTTTAATGCTGTTGATGCGACTCTCCCAACGAATTTGTGATAATGGCTTAACTGTAATACCATTCACAATCTCTTTGAAAATGTCCCAATTATTTATTGAAGAGGAAAACAAGCAATACATGTGTTGAACAACACCAAAAAACGATACTGCTATGTCTGACGAAGAAACAATATCTGAGAGTGCAAGATTCAAACTATGCAACCATATGGTGTGTAAGCTGCTCTTGGATTAATTTCCAGCAATCTGTTTTGTACTCCTTTATGTTTACCTTTCATATTTGACCAATTATCATAATCTTGCCCTCTAATGTCATTAATATTCAACCCCAAATCAATCAATATATTTTTAAGGGTGCCAAAAAGACCTTCACCAGTTTTTTCTTTCATTTCCAAGAATGTCAAAAAGAACTCTTCGAGCTTTGGTGAGGTCTCAGAAATATCTACACATCGATGACAGGTGACATCTGTTCTGTGAGGCTGATATCAAGAGTACAATCAAGAATAGAGTGATTGGAGGTGTTTGAGAGCGTTGTGATCCAAAAGGGAGTGAAAGATGAACATGGATTGAGGTCTTAAAGATGTCTTCTGTTGCTAAGATTCTGGGAAGAGATAGTAAATTGAGTAAGCTTTCCTATGGAAGTGGTCTCAGGTCAATCAAAGTTGTATGTTAAGATTTATGGCTAATTTACTAGACATATATCACTACTCGAGTAAGCCCAGCGGCCTAGAGACATCACAGCGGCCTAGAGACCTCATCGAGAAGCCGCTGGAGATGAAACCCCCAGAGACTAAGTGTGCCAGCGGCTTACGGGAGCGGTTTTTGGCAGCGGCCAAAGGTGAATTTCGGGAACTAAATTAGCCAAAGCCCCCTTTTGATTTCGGCATAACGCAGCGGCATAGTGACACCAAAAATGTGGCAGCGGCTAGTGGGAGCGGCTTGGAGCGGAGCGAAAGGCCGCTGGGCCACTGTAGCGGCATGATGCAGCGGCCTCCATAGGCCGCTGTGAGCGTCAAAAAAGTCAAGAATTCGAGTTTGACCAGACCTTTTATCTCTTTTGTTTGGACCATCTCAGGTTCGTTGGGTTGGCCTAGTTTGATTTTAGTTTGCTATAAATACCCTCAAACCTTATTTTGGGGATCTTATCTTCTTTCCTCTCAAAAACACATTAAAAAGTTGAATCCTTGATTAATATAAGCTTTGTTTCTTGAGTAATTTGAGTCTATGTTTTTTTTCTAATCATGACTAGTCTTCTATCCATCATGGGTTTAAGATTAAACATGAAGATTAGTGAGTAGACTCTCTTTGAGCTTTAGGGTGATTAAGTGATGATCTAGGGTGATTAGTGTTAGATCATTCTTTTCCTATGCTTATTACTTATTCCCAATTCTAGATTAGAACTAATCCTTCTAAACTAGATCATTAGGCATTTTCTGCCCACAAGGTATATGATCAAATGCCTGAACCAAAGTGATAATGCTTTTTGCTTGCTTAACCAAGGATACTTCATGTTAGGAAGGCTTAGATGGTTAGTAGACTTGTTCTCAATGATTTCTTGATTGATTTAGACCAATGACCATTTGTGTTTAAAGATTGATAGCAAATAAGCTTTTACCTTGACCAAGGACTAGCTTAGAATTGTGTCTAGACCTATAGGATATGAATGATTGCTTGAAACCTCACCCTAGATAGTAACTTGATCACCCAAAGTCAGTACCCTTATCCATATGCAATTTTATCTCATTGAAACCAAAGCTTAGTTATTCTTGTTTACATATTGCT